GCCTCCAGGTGACTGATACTCACATCACATGGCTATCGTTGACACCTAATTAACACCTATTGTTAACAGTGGGTAGAGTGAACCCAAACTATCTGCACTGTATCTGGAGTAACATGAGTTGTCCTTACAGTGTTACATATTTCAGTGGTATCAGAAGTATTTGTAATGTTGGGGGGACCCACTGGTGGTGGGGGGGTATGGGGGTCCTCCCCCAGAAAATTTTGAAAGAAGTAGATTTCATTTCCTGCATCCTGGTGTATTTTAACAGGTTGTAAAACAGACTTCTACCTACAAAGGAAAACACGTAATGTGAGTATTCTACACATCAAGTGGAATAAATTTATTTGTTAAACAACAGAAACACTGTGGGAACTAATATTTTATTGTAAATGTGGGGTTTCAAATGAATTAAATTTTAAATTTGATGGTGAAACTTCCGTTCAAAAATGATTGCTGTCATTTCATTTAAAAATGTCAAAATACATATTTTAAAGACATTTACAAGGAACAAGCTTTGTAAAATTTAAAGTCATCACCTCTTCTACGTATGTCAAAAGTTGTAATTGCTTTTTGATGTATATTTTGTGAACAAAAACTAATTATAAATACCCAAAACTGGAAATAAAGACTAAAATAAGCACAGTTACAAACTACATCTAGTGTGGTGTTATCACAAATTATTAAGTTATTTGATTTTTATGACATATTAGTNGAAGTTGATCTAGAACCTTCTTCCTTAGAGGCAACATGTTGCTCTACTAACTGTACTGCCTCTTTTTTATATTTATTATAATTATTTCATTAATATTTGATTAAAGTGTATCTATGAATATAACCTCCTGAGAACCTCCATCTTTATTTGTGAACATTGGTTTTAGACTGGTCTGGTTGTCCTTATTCAGAGGAGCTACATTTAATTTTTATTTTTTACTTTAAATAAAATATAAATTAATGTTTTTAACTCTTAGTTGTTAAAAAAATCTATGTTTGTATTCATATTTATGAGGTTCTATTCCTAAATAGGTAGGGGAATTGAAAAAGAAAAAAACCTGGGTATTCAAGAGGATAAAACTGGGAGGGCCACTGGGGGGCTCTCCCGTTTTCCCCATCTCTGAATGTAGTATACACCTCTTCAGGGATGTGCTCGGATAGATTTAATGCGTCATGTGAACGTATGGAGATGTTAATGTGCTTCTATTAAAAAAAACCCGGGGGGAAGTGGAGGAGTGGTATCTTGCTAAATATTAGCATTCATGCTAAATTGTATTTGATATCTTTTCCTCTTTGTTTTCGTCGTCGTCCTCCACAGCTCGAGAACTCACAGACAGCAGTTCTCAAAAAATGCTGCCATTATTGTCCCAGACGCTTTACAACAAAACGAAAGCATTTTACAGGTGAGTTTCCTGAAAACAGAATAAATGAAAACGTTTGTTCAGAGAGAAATCTGAGCCAAACAGCAGGAAACACAGAACACATGAACATTTACAGAGTTACGGTTAATTTATGTGACGAACCAAAAACAAAACTCTGCAAGACTCTATCAAGGTTTCATCAGGAATGTCTCTAGACTTTGATCCACCCATCTTTCCTTCAATCTGTGGGAGTGGTTCTATGGTGGTCCTATAGTGGTCCTATGGACCGATCCTATAGTAGTCCTAGAACTGATTCTATAGTGATCCAATAGTGGTCCTACAAAATGATTTTAGAATGGTCCTGTGGTGGTCCTATAGTGGTCCTATGGACTTATCCTGTAGTGGTCCTTTGAAATGATCCTGTAATGGTCATATGGACGTATCTTTTAGTGGTCCAATAATGGTCCTATAGGCTAATCCTGTAGTGGTCCTACAAACCTATCCTGCAGTGGTCCTATGGACTGATCTTTCAGTGGTCCAATGGACTTATCCTATTGTGGTCCTAAAAACTTATCCTGTAGTGGGTCCTACAAACTTATCCTGTAGTGGTCCTACAAACTTATCCTGTAGTGGTCCTACAAACTTATCCTGTAGTGGTCCTACAAACCTTTCCTGTAGTGGTCCTATGGACAGATATTTTAGTGGTCCTATAATGGTCCTATGGACTAATCCTATAGTGGTGCAACGAAATGATCCTATAGTGGTCCTACAAACATATGCTGTAGTGGTCCTGTGGACGGATCTTTTAGTGGTCCTACAAACTTATCCTGTAGTGGGTCCTACAAACCTATCCTGTAGTGGTCCTACAAACCTATCCTGTAGTGGTCCTACAAACCTATCCTGTAGTGGTCCTATGGACTGATCTTTTAGTGGTCCAATGGACTTATCCTATTGTGGTCCAATGGACTGATCTTTTAGTGGTCCTAAAAACTTATCCTGTAGTGGGTCCTACAAACTTATCCTGTAGTGGTCCTACAAACCTATCCTGTAGTGGTCCTATGGACTGATCTTTTAGTGGTCCAATGGACTTATCCTATTGTGGTCCAATGGACTGATCTTT